CGATAATAGAAACAGCAGCAGCTGCGACGACATTCGAATTCAGTTTTTGAGCTGACAACAAATTTTGCGCAAAATCCCGTATTACAAGTATCAAACAGGAAGGAATGGTTCGTTTACGAGTATTAGGCAAATGGTTACCCTACACAAATGAATCCTGCGAACTATCGAATGTTAATGTTATTGATTACCCAAATTAACAGAATTGCTCCGCCCATTAACAGTGCAGTACGAAACCGGTATGTAACGAGCTTATTTTAACATGCGTGATCATGTAGAACCTCTGCAAAGTAGGCGAAGTTCTTTTTCATTACATGCAAAAAAGGATGGGAGGAGCAATTCTGTTAATTAGAGGAGGCAATAACATTAAGGAAGGTATCAAAGAGAGTTATCGCAGCTTAGCTCTCTCTTATGGTCTAGTTTATGTGTGTACATACCTCATTCGATCACTGTCAATGGAAACGACAAACAAACCAAATACATCTCATGGGGGACAGTGATACAAGCAAATATACATCTATTTCATAAATATACCATTTTTTTTTATTTTTTTATTTCTATGTCTATGTGTGCGTGTAAGCAAATTCATATGCATATGCATGCAAATGTGTCAACGGGGTGCGAGAAATGAAACTGATATTTACATGCAGATGCGCCAAAAGTCATGATGAATACACCCCCATAATGTAGGTGTATAAAAAAGGTTAGACACAGACATACATTTTTATATGCGTGTGTATTTATTTATGTATATGTATGTGCGCACATTTGAAAACCCCAGTGGGTTTTTTTACGCTAATGCAAACTAAGGAAATGGAGTTGGCTGTGGTGCCATTTCATAAATTTGCTGACAGCGGAGGTGACAACATGTCAACAAGCGCCGCGGGTACTTAACGCACACACACTCACACGCAGGCGGACAGACAGACAGATATCCAGAGAGATAGAGAGAGAGTGAATGGGAGTGTGTGTGAGGGAGAGGGTAAGATAAACAGCAGGCAAGCCAATTATGTGGGGGGTTTAAAGCGTGCACTCAAAAGCAGGCAACACTTTAAATGATTGATTATTAGTCATGTGCGGCAAATTGTGACAATGTGTGTATGTGTATTGGTGTGTATGTTTGTGTGTGTGTGTGAGTGTGTGGGTACGGGTGTAGATGCGCAGATGTTACCTCCTGGCCAACATTTTGCAACTGAAAACGTGTTGTCTGCCAGCTGTCTGTTTAGCCGTGCAGCGCGACATGAGACCCCAAAGTTGGAGCCCTCAAATCCCTGAGTAGCTGTCATATGCCAGAGAAATGTTTTCCTTTTTCTTTTTTTCTTTTATTATTTTTTATTTTTGCCTTTTTATGATTTGTTATTGGAAATTGTTATTGTTGCAAATTGGCCGGGCGAATGTGCGTGACATGAGCAACAAAAGCAACAATAGCAAATAAAGCCGAATGTTCGGCTTATTTTATAATCGCAGAGAATATTTTGAAAATATCACACAAAACGTTTTATTTCTGTATTTATATATTTTAGGCAATTCTTGTCATTGTTGTTGTTGTTATTTTTGCATGTATGTATATTTATTTGTCAACTTTTTATTGACACAAATCATTGAGATGTCAAGTGCTACAAGTTGTTTCGTGTTGTTGTTGTTGCAGCTATTCGGTTTTATGTATTTGATATTTGACTGCGCTGATTGGTTTACGATTTACGATTTGTGATTCGAGATTTGTATATTTAATTTTATGCCCATTGAACCGCGCCACTGGCATATTTCAATCAGTAAATATTGAGTTTTATAAGTAAATTATAAGCCTGAAGGATGCAATGCAAATAGTTTAAGTCTGAGCCAATTCACTTGCAGCCAATTAGGAGAGAATCCCTTCAGCTTTCCGTAAGCATTGGGCCAAACTGTGACTAATTGTTGTTGATGATCTAACGAAAGTTCGAATTCAAATTGAAATCGATGCTTGGCAGCAGCAGCAACCACAAAAACAACAATAGCAACAACAGCGCATTTTAGCCCATTCATAAATCATTATTATTATTTTTATTTTATTTATTTTTTTGGCATATTCCCCGAGCTTCATTGTTGCCTCCTCTGGCCGTCTGAAGCGCTGTACGCGTTCTGTTTACCAACCCAGAAAAGTGTTCAAATATTTGTTGTTGTTTGTTGGTTGATGTTGTTGCTGCTTTTGTTGTTGTTCGGGCGTTTGTTGGGTTGGCGCTACAACAGCTTATGTTGTCATAAGCAGCGATCCGTCGCGTCGTGTTAAAAGCTACGCAAAATAAAACAAAACCACTTTGAGGCTAAGAGTGATCGACTCAAATATACTCTATAGAGCTTTGGGAAGAACTCGTAAAGTATTGAGGTAATGAATGGAAATAATATTTGATTTGCGTAAATTGCATTAAGGATATTCCAGCTGAGTAAATAAAGACAATTATGAAATTATTAGGGCTTTTCTTTTAATAATAATTTTAATCACATTTCAAGTACACTAATGAAATAAGTGAAATTGATAATGTCTAAAACTTTTATATAAATTTAACTTTTTGTTTTATGATAATCCATTTACATATAATTTGACATGTAATATGTTTCTTTTAATTAGCCACTTCACAGAAGTGCATACGCCCGCCTGCCAGTTTACAGGGTATTCGCATGAAGCAGCCAACATTTCATCGTATTTCCGTCATGAGTTGATTTTTGGGCGTTCTGGCATATTAGGCCACGGCCCTTAAGTAGATTTGACAAATATAAAAGTCATTATTAGGACCGCCCGCCCTCCTTTTGACCCACTAAACCTTGCTGCAAATTAAATAAGTTTCAACGCATTTAGAAAGTCATTTCGGTTGGCAAGTTGCGACGCCCAGCTTTTAGCTGCTATTTGTGTTTGAGTTTAGTTTTTATGGCCCCCTCCTGCTGGGAACCTCGCCCCTCCTTTTCCCAAAGAGTATGCAAAACAAAACAAAACAAGAAACACACAAAAGAAATCAGCTAAAAATTTATTTGCAGCCCAGAACTTTGCACTTTTGTTTGAAATTTGTTTCGCATTTGTAAGTTGAAATGTTTTTTTGTGAATGAACAAAAAACACAACATAACTTAACTAAGGAAAAGGGGCAGAGAGAGCGAGGGAGAGAGAGAAAGCGAGGGCAAGAGCTGTACATAAAATAAAAGAGAACCAAATACAAATAAAAGCGTAGCGTATCCCCCAAGTCGCTGGCAGACCTCAGACCCAGACCCCAGTTCTCGAACCTCAGGCATGCAGTTTGGCCCTTTTGTGTTTTTGGTTTTGTTTTTTTCTCGTTGGTCCTCGCAGCAACAGGAATCGAAGGAAACGAAACTTTGGTAGCATGCGTATCCGTTATAGGTCTGTTACTTTCCAGCTATCCTCAGTAACTCGCGCTGCCCTCACTCTATATATATATGTATATCGATTTCAGTCAAGCTGCTTCCCTTTGACTCGGCGCCTTAACAAATTTATTTTCAATGGATGTGCCCACGCTTTGGCTTCCAGTGCGTCCCAAATCGATTTAATTGACACTTTAGGCCCTTCATAAATCGTTGGGGGTCCCAGCTCAACGACCGTATCATTTCCATTTGCAACACCTAACAACGCAACTGAGCAAATTGTACGCTCGCCCGGGTCAAAATGGTTTGCAATTGAAGCGGTTTATGGAGGGCTTGACAAATGCTGATGGCCAACAGGAACAGGAATTATGAATGTCGTCGGCCAGCAACAGTTGATTGGCAGGCAGTTTGTCATGCTGCCAGAGCGTTTGTTGTTTTCCTAGACCCCCGATAGGTGAAAAAGGTGCCACAGGGCTGAATAGGTGCTGTAAATGTAGTATCGATGAATAAGTAGGGGGAGGATTAGAGAGCACGATTGTAGGGCATTCAAACTGTCAATCCTGTTACTCAAGTGAGTAATCATGGATAAAGGCTGAAAATTACACAGAGAAAACCTACATCGGAAAACCTTTGGAAAAGGTTTGAGCTCTTGCAATTGCGGCAATTGGTTAGACTTTAAAGTGAAGCAAGCGAGAAGGTTGTTCTTCTCAAATATATATAAGTGATAGACAGGGAATCTGAGCCATACCATCCGTATTTGCCTCACACACATATGCATATTTTACAATACCTGTTCCGCACGATGAATCCCCTGTCTGCATACCTTGAATATACTCACATTTCTCAGCTTGACTCATATATTTCATATTGTTCTAGCCCCAACGCAATCCTATATCAGCTGCGATACAATATTCATGCCCACTCAAATTTCAGCCCCAAATCCAGCACACAAATCTTTTCAAGCACTCGCACACAGTGAATGTACACACACACACACACACACACGTGCACACACACACGCTATCGCCTGGGGCATAATACAACTGTAGAACATATTATGGTCGGCCATCCTTGGCTTGTAGAGCATCTCTCGCTGAGTTATGACGTCCAACAGCTGCGCAAAACGACTGTCGCGAGAGGCGTTCCGGTCGAGGGGCCGTTCATATGAAGGCGATGCCACAAATATGTTGCATAAGCCAGCAGGGAACAACGTGGCCATAAGGCCGAAAGTGGTACAAAATAGACCAAAAAAAAAGTAGGGAGAGCAAAAGCAGAAGCAAAAAGAAATCAAATCAAATGGCCAAACGACAGTTGGCCGCCTATTTTGGTGGCTAGTTGGAAAATATTGCTGCCACTTGGACCACTATATTTTCCGTTGGCTACCCACTCAAAAACTAAAGGGGTATATTGATTGCTGGAACATACTCATATTACTATTTGATACATATAAATTTAGCTATTACTACTAAAAGGACTTTGGATTTTGGCAATGTTATGTACGCGGCATGCTCCAGTGCTCAGTGCTCAGTGCAGGGTATCTCACAGTCGACCCGAGAGACAGTTGCCTTATTGATATTTACAAGCACATTCCGTCTAATAAAAGTCAAAGACAAACATATTTATCCGCTTCTTCCTCTCACTTTGATATGCTTTGCAGGCCACTTTCCACTGAGCTCGGAGCACTGCCTGACCTGGATCTGCCTGGATGTGCTGTTCTGTACGGCCAGCATAATGCATCTGTGCACGATATCCGTGGATCGGTATCTGTCGCTGCGCTATCCAATGCGCTTCGGACGCAACAAAACCAGACGCCGCGTCACGCTCAAGATTGTCTTTGTCTGGCTGCTGAGCATCGCCATGAGTCTGCCGCTCAGCCTGATGTACTCGAAGGTGAGCATCCGCAGGATGCTATCTCTCGCCGTTTTCGGTTTGCTTAACATCCTGTTCTCTTGACAGGATCATGCCTCGGTGCTGGTGAATGGCACTTGTCAGATACCGGATCCGGTCTACAAGCTGGTCGGCTCCATTGTCTGCTTCTATATACCGCTGGGCGTGATGCTGCTCACCTACTGCCTCACCGTCCGACTCCTGGCCAGGCAGCGGCAAAACTTGGGCGGTGGCCAGCCCACATCGGCGGTCACGCCCGGCTGGGCCAGCGGCTGGCTGGGCCAGGCGCCAGCCTTGGGTAAGTGAATGCACATAAATCCAACAGAAAATCATTTTACATTATTATTTAGTTGATTATCCTTAAATAAATATAGCAATAGCAGCTGATAGTTATTCGAACTACCTCTGCATTTCTCGCAGTGTACATGCATGTGCGCATTTACGACACTTGCCACGCCCACTGCCTCACAGCTGTCGACATTTAATATGATTTGCAGCTAGCCCAAACATAATATTACGAATTTTCTAGGCGGAAGCCGGCCAGGACATGCATAGGCGTCTAGGCCACAGTAATGCACACTTTCAGCTATCGACAGGCGTGTGGTTTGAGCATGTTATGAGTTTAGAGCCAAATTCAGGGCTGCCATCCACCAGCCAGGCATTGGCATATTACGTAAGTCTGTCTGACAGTCCAAGTGCAAAGTAATGTAGAATTCTGAGCAGGTATTGATTGCACAGCTTAATTGAATCTAATGCTATACACATACTTAAAAGCCCCTCGAATGTGCTCTTGATTCATATTGATTCATACACATATTCTGGGTACGTGAGTACACACATAAATCACGCCCTTACAGTTGGACGTGCTAGTTGTGCTAGCGCACTCTGCTCTCCCTAGAACAATTCACACAATGGCGAATTGTTTTGGTTGCCCGCTCGATAGAGCATTTAGCAATCAGGCTAAACGCCCCCAATACAAATTTCTCGACGACTGCAGCAGGAAGCGGAATTCGTGCGCCAATAACAATAATCAATAAAATCAAAATCAAAATGGAAATCAAAATCAAAATGGAAATAAAAATAAGAACTAAACATATTTAATGGGCTTTTAGCAGTGAGTGCAACTGCGATTGCTTCTGCGTCTGCTTCTGTTTTGGCTCCTGCTCCTGCTCCTGCTGCATTGCAGTTGAGTTCCATTTGATAGCTAATCGACGATGGGAAACAGAGCACGAGCAGTGGGTCGAGCGCATTGCGACGATTCTATAATGCTAATGCAGCTCTCTCCATGTGTGTGTGCGTATCTGGTGGTGTATGAATGTGTACAGTGGAATGCTCAATTTATGTTTTTTTATATCTAGGGATACATGAGTAGGGCGTCAACTCCATACTAGCTTGACAATAAAACTTCAATGAGCGAACGAGCTCCTTAGATAACGAGCTCTTTAGATAACAAGCTCTTGCTTATCAAAAGATTTCATTGTCATAAAATTCTGTTCAAATATTTTGAAATACTATATTTTGTTATATTTAAATATTTAATTTTATAAAATAATGAAATGGTCAAACACAAGGCCAAGTATTCTGGCATTCACCAAACAATACGAATTCTATGATATTTCAAAAATGCTGTTGCTAACAGCTGTTGACTCAACAGCGGCTGGCCATGTTAACTTAATAGCCTGCCATTTATGCGTATGTATTTATATATTCATTCATTTATTATTAAATACATAAATATTATACAAATATTAAAGATTTAAGCACTTGCAAGGACTGTGCGACTTTATCGATGAAATCGACTTTCATGCCCATAGTACAGGGCACGAGTGTGTTATTTTCTGTGCAGTTATTTTAAGCTAAATCTGCTGTAAGGCAGCTGAAATTGGCGCAGGCACGTAGCAAAGCTTTTCCCCGTTACTGTGTGTGTGTGTGAGTGTGTAGTCGTGCGAATTTATAAGCGCATTTAGTTGGCTTAAAGCGGGCATGTGATTTTTTTGAGCCCTAGCATATGATTGCGCTGACTGCAATTTAATGGTTGTTTTTTTTTTCGCTATTCGATTGCAGAGCGTCGCTGCACTTGGCGCCGATTGTTGAAGCCGGGCCAGAGCCACGCCTCGACGGTGCTGCACGCCCACTCGGCTAATTCGACGGATACGGATCTCAGCACATTGGACAATCACGAGCTCTGGCTGCCCGACTCCAGGTAAGCGCTAGACTTGATAAATTGTGATGGCATTCCCCTCTAGGAATCTGTTTCTATTGGCCATCCCCATTAGCATACCCGAACCCACGCCCACGACAATGACGGCGCTGCATCAGTTTGGAGCGGAGATGTTGAAGCTGTCGCGTGGCCTGGAATCTGTTGCCTCGTCCTCAACAACCGGCTCGCCCACAAAATCCGAATTTTCCATCTCAAACAATTTACCCTACTCCAGCAGCCCGCAGCGCTTTTCGACGCATCAACAGCAACAGCAGCATAATCAGCAGCAGCAGCAGCAGCAACAGCAGCAGCATCAGCAGCACTTGCAACATGCTCACGGTAGCAGCTACCTGCAACAAACGTCGCCCAAGGGCAAGCAGAGCAGCAACATGCTGGGCCTGTCCAACACAACGCTCGGTCTGGAGCGCGAGAGCACGCGCAACTCGTTGGCCAGCAGCCGCATGGGCGAGCAGAGCGATGGGTAAGTGCGCGGAAATCCCTAATTGAAAATGCTCTAAGGCGAAAATTAGGCACAAGGACGTTCCATGCAAAGGACGTTTCCCTAACAGGCCAAAATGCAGAAATTACTAAAAACAACAGTCAGACTTTATGCTAGCAAATCTCAAATGGAAAACGCTCGAGTTTCATTGACTGCCACAATGAGAGCTTAAGAATCGGCAAAAAAAAAAAAAAAAAAAACATTAACAGAGAGAAGAGGCAGCTGAGAGATACCCTATACTCACACTCTCTTAATTATACGAGGAAGACATTCTATATATATGAAACGTACAGGGTATTGACTTCTCTTCCACCTGTTTCCTTCTTTATGCAACCAAATATTTGTCTTTATTTAATTCAGAAATACAAGCATAATAATCCCTTCCTTATGGCCTCAGGGTATAACTGACTATATAGCTTACTTTTGTACTTTATCAATTGAAACTTGAAACTCGATTGCCACACAATATACGCACACAAAAACGTGCTCAGGGAGAGAGAGAGAGAGACAGAGAGAGACTCTTTAGAAAGCAACATCTTCTGGCGGCTGGGTCCTTTGGTGAAAGGGACTCAACTAAATGCCGCCAGTTCAGGTTTCTTTGCCTGACAAAAGGCCAAACAGCTGCAAACATTAATGCCATACACAAACACAAAAAAAAAAACACACACACACACACCCACACACGCATACAGGCGTAAAGTGAGCACAGGAGAGCGAGCGAGCGAGCGTATTATCCCCGAGCATTTGTCGGTGCCGCCACGCCCCCATGCACAGCCTCTCGCTTGACCGCATCAAAAGCCAAGCCAACAGCTCAATTCGTACTTATTTAGTTTCTTTCGGTTCTCTCTTCTCCTGTGTCTCGGTACGCCGGGCTGCCTCGTTTTTGGGCTTTCGCCTTTCATTGTCCTTCCGCCTTTGAATTGTTGTGAAATTTTCTGTAATAATTAATTTTTTCGTTTATTTTGAATGAAGCAAAAAAAGGTTCTCTTAAGTGATTTTAGCCACGCTTGGCAACAACAACACTCAAATGATTTTATTTTAGTTGACTGTAAGGAAAAGACGATGAACAAGCAGAGAAAACCCAATTAAAATTGTTCATTTCAAAAAGAGCAAAAATACAAGAAAAATAAAGAGAAAACCAAATTAAATTCTTTATTTAGCAGATTTACTTAATAGATATTCCAAGTATTTAAATTGTCCTCCGGCAAATGAGCTCAAAGCTGAAATAACTGAATTCACCTATCAAAAAAATGCATGAACAAAATTCGAAATGAATTCGTAATATTTTTGTTATAGTTAATTTCCATTTCCTTTATGCCATAAACTTTAATGCCTAATGGCTTTAGTTTTTCTCTTTGTCGGGCTCAGCTGTTGCTCGTTTTTTTTTCCCCTTTATTATTTTGGCCTTCATATCTGACAGTTTTTTTTGTTTCTTTTTTTTTTTTTTGCCAGTGGAACGCATTTACACAATCAATAAATGGATTTCGCTTTTTCGGTGTGTCCTTTAATAAAGAACAACCAACTAAATTAATAATTTGTGAGCCTTTTCGCTGTCCTGGCTGCCTTTGTGGCACTTGGATTTGGGTCCTGGCAAATTGTTGTATCGGCTTTTAATTGTTTGACTAAATGTCTTTTCATTTGAGGAGCTCCCGGAACGAAGCTCCGTAATTTTTTGTTTCACTGCCGTTTATACAGTTTTAAATATGTATAAATATACCCAAACGACAGTCCCATCTCTGCTATGCATAAATCTCTCGCTCGGCTATTATTTCTCCTCGCTTGTCTCATGTTTATACAAAAGGAAGAAAAACACACATACATAAACAGAGAGTAGGCTGACGATTCGCCCGTTAGCTTGACTTGATGAGCTTGGCAGCTGTTTAATTCCTTTGAGGCTGAAACAATAACAAACTCGGCTGGTAGCTGCGTGGCTTTGTTTGGCTTCTGCATAATGAGATGGGACACCTTTTAGCCGCACGCCACAGTAGCTTCAATCTGGCAACTGGCAACTGTCATTTACTGCATCTCAATTTATGTGCGCGCGTCTCGCGTGGATGAAATCAGAAAGTGTCACGGATGCACAATGGGAGGAGGGCGCAGCCAGTGCCCCGCCCACAGCTGTTGCGCGACGCCTTCATTAGGCGCAAATGAAGTTGCGGCTGCTTCAACATTTGCATGCAAAGCAAATGGCGGCATGCGGAAAGCTGAAAGCCAGCCGCAAAAGCCAGCGCTCAAATTTGTGCCCTTTATTAAAATGAATTCCAAATGAGAATAAAGCGTGCGGAGCGCGCTAGAGGCAGCGGCGAACACAAAAGTGTTTGCTTTAAGAAAAGAGCGGGAGAGACAGAGAGAGAAAGAGAGCGAATGAGAGGGAGAGAGCAAAAAACAACAATGCGCGCCACAAAGCGCATTTTGTGGATTCTGTTCGAGTCGCAACTGTAAACACAAACAGCAAAAAGTGTTGCCTACTTTTCAGCGCACACAAAGCCAGGTGACCACAAAGCGTGCGCTGTTATGCGTATGTGTGTCGGTGTGTGTGTAAGGGTGTGTATGCTTTCGGCCAGGCAGCATGTTTTCAGGCACACTGTTTGCCAATTGACTGAGCAATTTTAATTAAAAAAATAAAATAAATTCAGTATGGAAAAAGCTTAAGAGGCGCGTGAAACTGCCGAAATATATTTAAAACAAAACCAAAAAAAAGGTAGCTCAATTTTTTGTGCTAAAGCTTAAATACAATGAACGGTATTCATGACAAAAAATGGTTCGATTTGGGGAATTGGAAGCTGATGGAACATTGGCTATGAATTCGGGCAATTTCCATATCAGAGTTGCACTCGATTGAAAACCCTTTGAAGAGCTCTTGCCATGCACATGTAACAATTGATGTTAATACTAAAAATATATCTTAAATTTCATTTGTTTCTCTTGTCTTTTCCCTATCTCTGGCAGCACACTTTCCCAACTGTCGCAAAGACTGCGTGCGTACAAGAAGCGCAGGCGCGCTTCTTCGGCAGCTTCTGGCCGTGAGCGACGCGCAGGCAGCGAGGATGCAGAGGATGAGGATCAGGATACACTACGACGGTGCAAACGATACAATAGCCTGCCCAAAAATGCGCTCTACACGCACCACAAGACGCTGCACGAGAGCCAGGACGACGATGACAATGAGGCGGCGGGTGCAGAGCCGGAGGACGACGACGAAAGACTGGACACGCAAGCAGCTAAGACATTAAAATCTTCGTCCATGAGCAAGAGCTGCCACTCCGACACGGAGGTGGAGCCACAACAAGGCAAACTATATCACGTGCCAAGCAGCTCCAATCATCAGTCGGACTACCCGCAGCTGCCGTCGGTGTGCACCTGCCCCTACTTCGGAGATCGCCCGCTGCAGAGCTGTGTGAAAACGGCGGAGGTGAAGATCATATCCTCCGCCTTCAAGGTCACCACCGTGACGACAGCAACGGCCGTGAGCAGCTCGCCCAGCGAAATGGACCTGCTTCTGTGCAGCGCCAGCAACAACAAGAGCGCGCTCACCGGCAGCGTGAGTGTGGGTGCGGCGGCAGCAGCTGTTCCCGGCGGTGGAGTTGGTGGTGCGTCGGTGAACACCTTGTCGCCCAACTCGGCCCATCAGACGCCCGGCAGCTGCCTGACGGTGCACAGTGATGGCAGCGGCTTTCTGGCCGCGCCGGGTACACCGTGTCCCGGCCGGCGTAAGTTGAGCATCTCAAAGACAGCTTCGGTGGTCACGTGGGACTCGAGTCGGCATCGTCGGCGTGGCAGCAGCTTTGGCGGTGCACGCACCTCACTGCTGCTAACCCCCACCAAGACGGCGTCCAGCACGGCAACAACCACAACAACAACGACGCCGTTACGCCGCTCTGCCACACTGCGGAGCCACCAGAACATGAACTACCAGGGCGGAGGAGAGGGCGGCAAGTCGCGGACGCCGCATTCGTCGCCCTGCCTGCTGCAGCGCCAGCAAACGGTTCGCTCTCATCATTCGCGCAACTCCAGCGTCATCTCGCGCAACTCGTCGCGGCACGGCCGCATCATACGGCTGGAGCAGAAGGCCACGAAGGTGCTGGGCGTGGTGTTCTTCACGTTTGTCATTCTCTGGTCGCCGTTCTTTGTGCTCAACCTGTTGCCGACGGTGTGCGCGGAGTGCGAGGAGCGCATCAGCCACTGGGTGTTCGATGTGGTCACCTGGCTGGGCTATGCCAGCTCCATGGTGAATCCCATATTCTACACGATCTTCAACAAGGTCTTTAGGCAGGCCTTCAAGAAGGTGCTGCTCTGCCGCTACTCGAACAACAGCGCCTGGAGGCCCAGCAGATAGCAGACGCCGGTGAAGCCCGGTAAGCTCAAGGCAAACGCCAATCCCCTGACAAATCTCAAACCGCCGCCCATCAAATGCACCGGCGTGGACTTTGCCGATGCCAGGACACTCGCTTCACGTCCAGCCTCGAGCCTGCTCAAGGCGCAATCGAACAGCGACTCAACGACCAATCTCTGAGCGCAGCAGCTCGAAATTTGGGCAAGCATCCACAGACCACACGGCACGCACAGCCCGGCCCGGCTCGGAATCGTGTGTGTGAATGTGTATTGAGGCTTAAGTCTCTAATTAATTTCAAATTCAATTTGCACAGCCATTGAGCACATTTGCCGGACAAACCGAAACCAGACAACTGCTGCTTGTTAACCCACCCGATGGAACAACCACCTAACCGCCAAACATCCCACTCGCACTCGTGCCGAGTTCAGCCAGCTGGTCAGCTTTGCCGCCGCAGGCGTCTAGTTCTCTAATTGTGGTGCTCAAGGTGTATTAAGTTTGTCTGCTCAATGCCACGCCCCACAGCGCCTCCATCTCCACTGCCCTGTGGCTCGGCAATTCCATTATGGGATTATTAAACGAAGCATAGCAGATTTTGCAAATGTGCGTCAAAGGCATTTCAAGGCGGAAAATGCAAAGAATCTGTATTTTCCTGCTTCTATCTAGCACGGGGTAGCCCCGAGGCTGATTATGTGCATGCTGCTGAAACTATTGAATAATAGAGCGCAGTTTAGTTAAAAACAAACTAAAGTCGGGATTAAAGTTTGTTAGAATGATATACTTAGTTAGAATAAGTTCTTCAAGTAGCCAAGAGTGTGATCTTAACTTGTAATAAACTGTTCACTCAGCTAATATCAGAGCTTTGGCATTTCAGATGTAAACGAAAATCAAATTAAATAACATTTTAAATAATTTACATTCCAATGTTCTTCGTCGACGTGGCCTGTGCATAAAATTAGCAGCTCAACTCAAGCGTTGCCAGATCACTAATAGTTACAGCAAGGAAAGTGGCATCACGCTGTTATAGCTAGCGGTGTCTGTTCTAAAACTCTGGCAATGCTCAGCTATTCAAGCTTAGGCTTGGAGTGGCACATCAATATTTTGGGCTTTAGGCCTTATATTTTCATGGCGTTCAATTGTTTTTTAAGCCATCAAATTCGATTGCATATTGCCTGGCGCTGTTAAAGTCCATAAATAAATGCGCCAAATGTCCCCTGCAATTGTTGTTGTCGCTACAAATTTGATTGTCAATTGCAATCAATATAAGCCGAACTTTCGTTTATTTGTTTATTTGGCGATTTTCACAATTAAACGTTTAATTTATGGCAAATTTTCGGGCCGCAAATGCGAGAGACCTGCTGAACTCACGTACGCAATGTCTATAAAAGCGCTTTTCTCGTTGTTGTTGTTCTTGACGTTGGTCTTCTTATAGTATTAGTTGTTGTTGCTGTTGTTGTTGTTGTTGAATTTGTTGTTGTTGCTGGCATTGAACAGATTGCCATTTTTATTTGAAAAGTTGATTCATTCGGTTTTATTTTCTGTGGCAAAATGAAAAATGTTCAGCTGGTCACGTAAATGGCGCCCCGGCAAGAGGCTACTGCCAGGTCTTGAGGAAGCTGAAACAGCTGCTTGAGGCTGGCACATCAAACAGCAACAACAGCAATCAGCAGCAGCCATAATGAAAGCTATTTGGCTCAGAAAGTTTCAATGTGGGCCAAGTTTAAAGCGTAATTTTGTGATGTGGCTACAAAGTAAGCGACAAATTCGCAGCAGAAGCAGAGTGAGAGGGGAGCGCGGCCTGCCAGGCAGAAGGAGCAGGTAATGGTGCCATTAGTAGCACCTACTCACTAAGAGCTCGAAGAACACTTTGCAGCGCGCGCCTCAAACATTTGTAGTGTTTTCTCTTTCCTTTTTTTTTACACACTGGCAGATGGAGAGGTTGACAAATTTGTAACGGAGACAACAGACGAGAGCGACAGCAGCGAAACGCGACACTTTTGAGAATTTATGGCCGTTTGATGGCCAGAGGAAATATTTTAGCTCACTTCATTGACGCCGAGTCTGTCTCCGGCTAGCTTAGGGCTCGGGTCGCTGATAGGCCGGGCCTAAGTGTCGCACGCCGTTGAAACTTCATTGAACTTGAATAGCCTGGCCGCAGGGCAAACAGCAGAGAAAGATGAAGAGAAATGAACGCAATGGCGGCAATTTCCGTTTCCGTTTAACGCTCGCCTAACATATGTTGCCTTTTAAGGAACTAAAGTATTAAAGCACCAACAACAACAAAATAAAATCACTGTTATTTAGCTCAGACAGGGTCTTTCAAGAACTGATGATGATGTACTTGCCCTTCCGATCCTTGGCTTAAACTCAAAGTATATTAAAATTATTGAATTCAAAACATAATGAATGCAAATCAGAAAGCAAAAACCCATTTGAAATAAGCTAAGCAAATACGAATTTAAATTTCATAAATGTAAACTGCAATCACGAGGTAAATGTTAACCAAATTAAATGAATGTATTTATTTATTACTAAGTAGTTAATTAAAGTGTACATATACTGAATACGCACTGTATTTAGTTCGGATATACTACTAAAGGGGAGAGCATTGTCACAAAACGCTTTTAACCAATAGCTAAGCTAAGCGAAAAGCATTGCACAAATGCAATCCAGCTAAGCACTGTATTAGAGCATGTACTTAAATGCATTAGTTTAACTGTAAGTAGTTGTGCGGTAGGCACTGTGAATGTCCAGGTTTAGGAAACGATTGCTGTATATACAATATACGACAAAAACTTGAAATAGAAATTAATGTAACACTGTCACATACACAAACAAACACAGACACAATAAGACCCATAGGGTGTGCTAAATAAATAAAACTATACATTCATATACCCAACTAGCTATGATCTGATTAGTGTAAAATTAGTTTAGCAATTGAATCAACTTATCAATGTACTCTGAGTACTAGTAGAACCCATTAGAAATGAATGACGCATTATCGACAGAGCGAATCTTCTTGTTTCCCACTAAAAACTGAATCGAATTTAACTGAAAGAACTCGATAATCAGAAAAAAAGAAAACAGCCACACAAGTATTATAACTCAACATAAAAGAAGCCGAAGCATAATTAAGATTCCGAATGACATATCTCTGTGCGTTATTGTTTGATGTATGTACATATATACAAATATTAGTATATTGAAATATATATTAGAATTAGCTGCAACCCAGTCAAAGACACTAAAATCTTAAACCATATACATATATTAAGATATAAAATAAAATATATACATATATGTTTAACATATACTGGCGATCATGTTTGATGTTTGACTAAATGTTAACCTATACATATGTGTGTGTGTTTGAGAAGCCTTTTAAGACTTCTATATTAAATGTGCATTCTATCGAACAATATGAAACACTTGTTTTACTCAAATGCACTATACCATTTTCCACAGTGCATTGGCTCTCGGCCCGAGCCAATCAAATATATTATTTGCCATTGTGATGGCCATGCGCTCATTTAGAATTGCGCTCAATTAAGCAGCAATCGAACGAACGAGCGAATGAATGAAAATATAATATATATGCATATATATAAAAAGAAAATTAATTGGTTGACGGCATAATGCCAGCAAATTGTGATTCAGCTATAAATAAATAAATGTTTATGGTATCATTGTTYCATTAATTAATAGCTGGTAAGTAATTTAAAATGGCCGGCATTTTGAAAGTAAAAAGCAGTGTAACCAGATTTTGTTTATTTTATATCAGCTAGAATACTCGAATTCCTTAATTGAGACTTTAACCGTGTGCAAATGGCAAAGACGCTTTCAAGGAAATCAACTCAAGGATACAAAATTGGCTCAGCTAATTGGACTGAAAATGTAAAAAATTGCTAAAAGGGTAACAACTGAAAGTTGATTATATTTAAATGAACTTGGGACTTTTTGAGAACTGCTAATGGAAGATAGGTACTTTGCGTAAAACATCACGATTTAAAAACTCTAACAACATAAGCTTTTTACGTAATCCGATTTACTACATTTTAATATACATTTTTAATATGCGGCAGGCTGTGCATATGGCCCAAAGGGCCGCTGCAGCAAATAGCAAATAAAGTTGGCCAAAAGTTGGAGAGGATCATCATTAGTTAAATGATAATTATGATAATTATTTGACGGTACTTGTGAAATTAATGCACGCTAATGCCCCGCAAATTTGTGAGCTACTTCTGACCAAAAAAAAAAAAAACAAATAAAAATACAAAAAATAAAAGTAAAGTAAATCCCAACAAAGTGGCGGCCAAAAGCCATAAAAAATGAGCAAAGTCCAAAAATTGCGACTACTCAGCGCCTCTTAATTCTATTTCAGCTTTAAGAGCCTCGTAAAGCATAGAGCGCGGACCATGGGGCCGAGCACAGCTGTGACCCCAACGCGAAAATAAAGTGGAATATCCTTCAATAAACGCTTCTCCACTGTTTTCTCGATGTTGTTGTTGTTGTTGTTGTTGGCGTTGCGAAGGCAACTTCAAAATTTGTGCTCAACTGCACCTCAGGGCAGGCACCACCACCACCAACCCCACAACAACAACAACCACAAATTAAAATAAAAAGTCTGGAGTGCACTTTTAGGCGCTCTCCTTGCGAATATAGCGCACAGCACTTGGGTAACTGAATGCAAATACAATAGTTGAGCAACAAATTAGCCAACAGTTGCCATGGTCCTTGAGGATCAGGTATCAAGGGAATTATAATGGCAAGCCCTATTTGAATTCCAGCTAAATCTCATAAGCTGACAAAGCTCAACGTTGTGCAGTGCAATTCGTACTGCAGTGTAAGATCCACTTCTGCATGAATACACATACATTTACATAAAAAATGGCGTGTGTAATGTAATTTTCGCGTACTCAACGTGTGCAGCCACACACACACACACATATCTACCTTAACTGTTATTTATATTTGTTTACAGGCAAAAGAAAACGGCGTGAAATATTTTTGGTTAAATTTCATGAAGAACGCTTAATTAACAAACGGATGAAAACTGCAAACAGAACGACTAATGAATGCCCTGCATATGCGAATAAAGAAAGAGAGAGAGCGACACAGAGCTAGCGAGAGAGCGAGAGATATAGAGAGTAAGCGCTTGTAGATCAAAATAATTAAAGCTTCAGTCAAGCATATTTATCTCTATATTATTTATACATATGTAGATATTTATTTATATATAGAGAGAGAGAAGAATGTGCAGGGCATTCAACGACTGCAGTTGGCCATTTGAGGCAATTTATTGTTTGTAAAAAAAAAAAAGAGAATAAAATAAATGAAACAGGAGATATCCATATATCAACTGCAGGAGGTCCGCTTGGTGAGCGAGTCCTTGTTGGGCGCCCGATTGCATTGATTTATGGCCAAAGCTGCTTGTTGCACATTTTATGGGCAATTCGATTTTGTGTCTCCGCAGCAATGCAATTCCGTTGCCTGGCAAAGCCGCTTGGACTTGAGCTTCGGTGCACCTACATACATATATAATAGCATTATGCCAATCACAATCAAATATGCAGATAACGCCCAGAGACCCAAAGCGAGCAACAGCAATCAGAGCAGTCCGTTGGCTTGATGAAATTACATGCTTGCATTTCAACGCGCTTAGCAAATGATTGAGCACACACCTATACAAGTATACACATACATACATATATATGCAGGTATTTCTATCATCGTATTTAGCATATGGACATTCAGCTTAAATGACCTTCAGGACACACACGTATACAGTTATTGCAGCTACCTGGCTCACTCGATGTGAAATTATATATGCTTTTGTTTAGTCATTTCAATTGTCAAAGTCAATTTGTGTCTGTGTGCTGTGTGCGTGTGTGTCTGTGTATAAGTCTGCTTGTATTTGTACACATCTGCAGGGCACAGTCCTGCTGGTTA